GTACGCTTTAGCAATAGCAGATCACTGCTGTGGGCACAAAAGCATTAGTGAAAGCATTAAGCTGAAGAAAAGATGGTCCTAACTGCTAGCAGAGTTACGGATTACGGACCAATCTATGTTGTGCTATCAATCTGAGGTAAAATTTGTGATCACACATTGCACTATATGAAAAAAGCATTCGTGCACTCCGAATCATTGCACAAGCTGCTCGCGGGGCAGCTGGAATGAGCGCGTGGATGAATCAGGGTAGGGAAGGGATTGAGGCACTGGGGTGGGAGGGATGGGTGGGTACGAGTGTGAAGCGTAGAGTGCGCTTTACCATGAGCACACCGCTACTTCAGTGAAAGCGATGTAATAGGAAGAGAGAACCCACCGCCAGCAGAGTCGCGAACAAATTAATATCGTGGTATCAATTCGAGGTAATGTTTTGAAGGTGATATCACCCTTTTACTTTCAAACGTTCAAGAACTGATGAAAATGAATAATACGGGACAATGGAAAATGTACAACTAACGTACGTAGCAAAAATATTAGCATCTGCAATCTTTGTGCGACATGATCGAATGGATTGCATGTGAGCAACTCATATTGCGCTGCAGTCTGTATCCGACTGTACTTTCTATCCGACTGTACTTCCTATATACAATATGAGCAGCTTAGTGAACAAATTCCGTTTCCATGAAAGTGCGCCTGGGGAGCCAGGCCAGCTAAAGAGAAAAAGGGGAGCTCGGCGTAAGCCGGGCGATCCGGCTTGTTGAACAATAAATTAACTACTCATGAATGATAACACGTAAGATCAGGTTAATGCATCCATTCATTTTATTGGGTTGGCACATAAGTAATGGCGTTTTTTTCAATTGAAAATTTTGTTCCAAAAGTGAAATGTTTTGCAAGCAAGCTTGATATCATCTGATAGGAAACTTCTCGTAGTATAAGAATATCAAAACAGCTTCGGTTGAGGGAATAATTTTTGTGAATTTTTTAGTCGTTGAAGTTGAAAGTGAAGTCGGGCAGAGAATTAGCACGCCTATTGACACCTTAGCACTATTAACGTCTACTCGCATAGTGCTAAAATGTTTGAAGCTGGCTGCGGCATACATTCTTGGAAAAGGTTTGAGCTAGAATTCGTCAGCAAGGAAGTCTCCAGTAGACCGCTGCGGAGGAAGCTAATTGAAGAATTTCAAAGTTGGCAACCTTCACCTCGCCGATATAGGGCAGGCTCACGCCTGTTCCACCTGAAATTTTATGCTGATAGTTGAATGTTTCGCTGACATGTTTTGCATGTTCTGATAGGAAATTCGTGGCTCTAATACGACGGCAATGGGAAATCTGTTCTCCAAGCTGTTTGACTTTCTGTTAATCTTCTAGGTTAGTCCATTACCGAATGGTTGAGGTCGATAGACGATGAGAATTAGCGTTCCCGACTTCCTCTCCCTACCGCTGTCCACGGAAGCTTCAAAGCTCCTGGAGCAGCTCAATAGAATCGCCATGGTTTGAGTAAGCATAGAGTAACAGATTAACATTAGGACGGCTCACAGTTGATTTTGAGAAAAGCAATGCTTTTCAATGCCTTCTCGGTGACTGACTGAGCTGGCTGATCGGTGGGAGGAGGTTGTAAGAAACAATGGAGAATATATATTGACTAGTTTATTGTAAACCAGGAAAAATTCCTATTCTTGAAGCAGGCTCTCAAAGGAAAAGCGGCTGCTTCAAGTCAGCAGCATCCCAGTTATGGGCGAGAAGTACCCAGTAGCCGTCAAGATATTGAAGAAACACTATGATAGATCTGCAAGCATCGCAGACATCTTGATCAACGAAATCGAACGACTACCGCGAGCTCACGAAAACCCAAGGAGTTGCCGTGAAACTCTTGAAGCAATCTCTTCTCGCATAATACATTTGGAACAGACCGGACTACCAATGAACGCTGATCGAATGTGGAGGCGTCTGATTCTGTCTAAGTTCACAGAATTCATCTGCAGCACAGTAATCAGGGAGGAAAATGAAGCTGGATACTCCTTCAATGTGAACGAGATTATCGAATCCATCGATGGAATAATTGCTCTGCAGGAAACAACCGAACTCACAACGAGGACGCTATTCGGTTTTGATGGAAGTCACTGCGAAGATGACTACGACCACAGCGTTCAAGAAACA